ATACTGACAATAGTCTGTATCACTTTGCTATCATATGGGTAGACAGGAGATAGATGCTGAGTATTCCTCTTAGAATTTTAGTTAAGCACTGTGCTTTTCTAATCTAGTCTGTGAACTGTGTAAGCTTATGACCCATCTATGCTTATGTCCACCCACAGCAGGTTCATGAAATCCACCTTCCTCGAATAGCTTATTCAGACAATATTTTTCATGCATCTGCCATTTATTAGCCTTTGTTCCTTGCTTTGTAACAGAAAAAAAATGTAGGAGTCTTTGCCCTTAGAAAATTCAGTTACTCAAGCAATCAAACTAGAACATTATTAGGAACAATTTTAAATTGTGATCTGTTAAAATGTATATTTAAAATGAAAGCACATATAGTTTCTCTTGCATAAGAAACCCAAAATATAAACAAAGAGCAAAATAAAAGATAGATAGTAGGAAGGTAAATCTTTTGCAAAGGGGAAGAGAAGGAAGGGATGGAGAGAGAGGGGAAGGAAGGGAGTGAAAAGGGGTGGAGAAAGAAATTAAAATGCCTTACGTACCTATATCAAATCCCTGTGAGGAACATAATCATTATATACTGCCAACTTTCTAATAAAGACAAGAATGCAAATAACTCTGAATTCGTTAGGTAGTATTTTAAAAATTGAGACATCTGAACTTTTAACACAAGTGGAAATCAAGTATCTTGCATGTGTCAGAGGGAGCACCGAGGAGGTCAGAACGCAATCCGAGGATGGCCACACCTCTGCCTGGCTCTGCTCCTCCTCCCTGTGCACTCTCCCCCTCCTTTCCGGGTCAGCTGCCCCCTGCATGGCAGAAGCAGTGCCATGACTTGCTCTACAGGGCTGGGTCTCCTTCCTGAGAGCAGACTGGAGAATCACCACCATGATTTATAGGACTTATGGCACGGGGGCTGCAAATAACTGCGACAGTGAAGCATAACCATCAACCTGACGGACCTGGTAGCCACGCAGTGGGTTAGCACAGCACACCTCTGGTTATGCCTAGCTAGGTCATGCCAGGGTGAACTTGAGCACTGTATATGGTCCCAGGGCCCTGTATCCCTAACACTGTTTCCCTATGCTAAGTCGAAGCAGCCTTGAACTAAGCCTCTTTGTCTGCTGTGTCCCTCCACTGTGCTGCCCTGACTTGGTGCCTGCCAAACCATGGACTGAGCCTCCTGACCCCGTGAATCAAATCAAACCTCTTCTCCTCTAAGCCATGGGTGTTGGGTATTGTGTCCCAGCAATCGGGCAGCTGACTCATATAACTGCGTTAGGGAAACGTGGGTTTCTATCCATTCATTTAATTTATGAAATCATCATTGAAGGCAGGTCTAGGAGGGTCCAGATACTTTACTGAGCTATGCTGTAAAGGGCAGAAGAAAAGAAGAAGAAAATCTTTTCACCTCTTCCAGATGATTATTGACTTTTCTATTTACTAGCCCTACATAGACATGTCTGTAGAAGTATTTTACAGGTCTGTGAGAGGGGAGAGGAGACACCCATCATGTTGGCTCTCCTGGGTGGCATTACAGAGTGCCTGGAAAAGCAGGGCCTCATGGGGCATTTCCCACATGTCTGAGCAAGGGAATAAATGTAACTTAAAAATGGGGTGCCTCTCCATGCTATATTTGCATATTTCTTTATATCTAAGTATTTTCCGGTTTATTTTATCCCCAAACCCAACACAAGTAAAGGAAGGGAAGAAATGTTTTCAGCTGTACTTTATTTATTTCTTTATTTGGTACAGGGTCTCACTACACAGCTCAGACTCATAGTGATCCTCCTATTTTCAGCCTCCCCAGCCCTGGGATTACAGGTGTGCACCACCATGCCCAAACTTGTTCACCAGCTCAGCACACCTGGTGGCAGGGCTGGTGCAGTATGCAGGACCAGGGATTGAACCCTGGTCCCTACATTTGCCTAAGCAGGCGCTTAGTCCACTCAGCTATCTCACAGGCCCTTTCAGCTCTACTTTAGATGACACATAGAGACTCAAGACCTCACATTTAGCAAGTATGAGTGAAACCTATGTGGTTTTCCTCCAAAATTTGACTAATAATCCCACAGTCCAATATTTGCATTTCTAATACTAACAGGAATAAAAGGGACTGGAGGTCTGACACACTAATGTCCAAGGTTCAGGGGAAGCAGTGTTGGGTTAAGGGAAAATCTGGCCACTTCTTCCTTTGCAGGGGGAAGCAATTAAGAAAATGCAGCATGCTGGTGGCAGCTGCAGAGCTGGCAGAGCCCTTCTGAGGACAGTGGGCCATGTCACACACTGAGATGGATGGGGCTGTTTTCTGCACCAAAGCTGGCGGACAAATGGAAGCCTGCCAAGTTTCACCAGCATGGCTCCAAGCGTCATTGACAGATGGGCATCTGAGTGTTTTTGTTTAGGAAAGAAAACAAGAAAAAGGAAGGAGAAACAAAAACAAAATAAAATTAAAAAAAAAACTCTACCCCAAACAGATGCAAGAATTCAGTGAATATGAGCATTCCTGATCAGGCTTGAGAGCAGGGCAAGCCTTTCACAGGTCCTTGAGAATTATTCACAAAGTTGTCCACCTTTTCTCTCAGGTAAGTTTCAACTGAATATAGATTCTGGTGAGACCCAGGTTACTGATCTTGGCTGTATCTCATGTGCTGGTGGAGGAAGGCTGGTGAGGAACAAGCCATATTCATCTTCATCTGCCCACAGAAGGCTTCTCCTCCAATTAAAATGACCTATGAAATTGTAGAGAGGTAGCTGGGTGTGGAGGCGCACACCTGTCATCCTAGCACTCTGGAGGCTGAGGCAGGAGGAACACTGTGAGTTCAAGGCCAGCCTAAGCTACAGAGTTCAAGGCCAGCATGAACTGCATACTGAAGCCTTGTCTCAAAAAGACGTAAATAAATAGTAGAGAAGTAAACAATGTTGATTTCGTTTGAGGAAAACACACCAAGGCACATTACTGACTAATCACAGAGTGACACCATAGCTGAGCCCAAGTCAGTGGATCCTGGAGGATGTGCTGAAGAGACTGAAAGGTCCCCTGGGCATCACTGTCTTCATGGGACTCCATCGACAGCAGCCTCCAAGAGCAAAACCAAGCAACTCTGTTTTATTTTTTGTCTACCACAGTTGGAAAAGAAGGTCAATAGTAACCAGCTTTAAAAGATTCAACCTAAATACAGTCCCCCAGATGGCCCTGCCTCTTGGTGTTTCTCTGTAATTATCTTCTGAACATAGGGACCAGTGGACACACACACAAGAGCAGCAAAGAGGAGACTGCAGCTCCTGCCCACTCAAGGTAAGCCAGCCTGTGTCTCGTGGCCTGCCCGTGCTCTCTGGCCAGCTACGGAACTTAATCACAGAGCAGCCAGCCATCTGGAAGATGCACGTTCTCCTCTGGGCTGGATACACAGTCCTCTGGCTGAGTCCATATTTCACTCATACTCAGCCAAGCAATCATTTATGAAATGTAAGGCACTTGGCAAAATCCAAACATAATTTTTAAACTTCGACAGAGGAAGGTAGGATAGATACAGTGCCGTTAGGGCATACCTAGAATATCCTACCAGATGACTGATGAGAGAGAAATCTATGGAGAGGGTTTTAAAGAAGTTTTGGACCAGGCAGCTTTGGCTCAGTCATGTCTTTGACAGCTGGTGCCTGTGGCCCCTGCTCTTGGGAAATAACATGCCTCTGGAATTAGCTGCCTAGGACAGCCTGGAGGTAAGAAAGTCTGACCCCCTTTAAGCAAAAATAAATCTTGCTGAGTTAAATGATCTTGTCTCTTGCTTTCCTAAAGGAATACAAGACATTAAGTGACAAAATTTGAAGATAGCAGCCACACATTCTTGGAGCCCATATTGCCAGGCTGATTAATTATAGGTTTGGCTGGCTCAAGATAAGCTATAGGTCAGATGCATAAGGCTGTCTTCCTTGTCATATCCAATAACTAAGAATAACCAGGTGACTCTCCCCAGATCTTTCAGCCTCCGTTAGTACAATTATGATGCATAGACTAGGGCAGAAATAAAGTGGAGGAAAAAGTAGTATTTTCCAGCCAAACAACCACCACTTCAAACAAGTCTGCACCATCTGCTCCATTTGCTTTCCTTTCCACAAATTATCAGTGTGCAAAGGCAGAACTGTTGATGTTCAAAGTCACCCTAAAATACATCTTAATGAGGGAGGCTGCTAGAAAACAAATGACTCCCTCTGGCAAGGCCAGCCAATATCAGGCTAGGGCTTGGAGTGGATCACCCACCCATCAACCAAGGGGTCCAATAATTATATATCAGAACGGGCCTTGTGCCAGACGAGCTGTAAGGTCTTGTTTTTGTCAGCAGCTATCATCAAAGGAGTCCTTATGATAGTTGCTAGGCCAAATGCCACTCATAAAAGCTCCCCGCCAGCCACTGATACCTACTGACACTCCTGAGAACCGAGAGAAATGGAAAAAACCAGACGTAAGACTTCTTTGACAATTCAAGACTCTCAGTTATAAAATACTTTGGCTCCTTGAAACCCGGCACCCACAGATATATCTAAGTGTAATTCCCCAGGAGGGTGATGGTGATCAAAATCTCAGTCTCTCTAGAGAAGGACACACTTCAGTTTGCGATTGCCTGAAACAAACCCACGCTTTCCTTCTAAGTCCATTGTCATCCTTACGACAGAGAAGGAAACAACGTGAAGTTTCCTTTAAAGGAGGACAGTACACATTGTCAGGAAATTCTCCACAGCATGTACCAACTATCTCTCACTGGCTGAGCTTCACAGAAATTCTAAGAAAGGCTTCTGCTTTTGCATCAAACACCATCAGCCAGTAGAGCCTTCCGTTCTTGGAGATGACATCAAAGTGAGGAAAAAGTTACTTTGGCTCTATTTCTCCTTTGAAACCAACATTCTGTAGACTAAACATGCTCTACAGAAGTCGTTGACTGGCCAGGTAAGTAGACGCCTTGCTCCTGTTACGTTTATTAAAAAAATCCATCGCTCACCTGCCACCACTGGAGATTTCCGCTCATCTAGGAGCTGGATGGAGGTACTTGCTGTCACCACATTGCTTTTGTTGACTGTTCCTATAAAAAGAAAAACCACGATGACCAAGTTGGACATCATGCTGGCCCACAGCCACTAGATCTGCAAAGCGTTCTAAGGCCCCAATCCTGGAATCCAGAGGCTTCTGGCTGTGGACAATCGGCTGCTCTCCTAAGCCATTTCTGGTGGAGTCAGTGTGCTGAGTTATGACCACCTGCAATGGGAAGCATCCAGCTCTTCACATCAGAATCACAGACCACCTCAGGGGGCCTGCGTGGTTCAGTAATCTGTAGATGCCAATAGTAATGTTTTCTGTGTCAGTGGCCACATTTACACCACCTCGGTAACTATAGCCATGAAGGGTTGCATGGATGGGAATTCTGAAATTGTTTTATAATAAGGTGGCAACTGTAGTTCTGATTTGTTAGGTAAATCTCAACTGATTTATAAAACCTTAGTTCCACCTTCAGATTTTTGGAGCAAAACCATCATAAAGAGGGAAAAAGCTAGAATGCATCTTTTTTTTTTTTTTTTTTTTCAGAACCAGGGATTGCACTCAGGCCCTGGCGCTTGCTAGGCAAGTGCTTATTCTACTGAACCATCTCCCCAGCCCCCTAGAATGCATCTTTAAACTCTCATTAATGTGATAACAGTATGGCATTAGGATTAAGTGATTTTTTTTTATGACTAACAAGAGCTTCAATACCCAAGAAGTAAAGGTGAGGAGCACACATCCTGAACACCCACGGTTCCTATCTGATAGTCCAGTGCCTGCCTCAGAAGAGGTGCTCAGTGAATGTGGCTGAACGGAGTCCAATCAGATCAAGAAAAGGGGAAGGCAAATTTTCATTTGAATATGCTTATGACCCAAATGATTGAGAATTTTTTCCTTGACCAAGTCTAAGTAGCTTCTATTTTAGACAGAGAGAGAGAGAGAGAGAGAGAGAGAGAGAGAGAGAGAGAGCGCTTCACCATTATACTTTGTGATTTTAAAGATTTTCCTTGAATTTAAAGGGGCCGTGAAATCCCGTTATATCATCCACAACAATGCCACAAACCTGACCAATTTCCTTGTACCATATGCTATAGTTAAACATTCAGTTGAAAAATCTACTTCCCAAAACCAGGATAGCAACAGTTTTCATTAATAAGAATTTGGCTTTACCACGCATCATTATTTTAGGACAAACAGTGAATGACAAAGTGAATTGGTGCCCAGGGCTATCATTCCTAAGTGCATGTAAGTACAAAGCAATTCAGGGTCACTCTTGTCCACATATCCCTCCTGCACAGCACCAGGCAAAACCCTTTCCGATCATAGAAGGAACTGAATGACCCCATTTGGAGCCAGAAGAACAGCAAGCTAAGCTCATGCTTTTTTTTTGTAGAACTGGGTCAAAAAGGTAGTCTCATGAGATAGAAAATGATGGCATGTCTAGTGTAGGTTTGAGATGGAATGAGAAAAGTCCACTGGTCTTAGCTGACACGGCCAGAAATGAGCTGAAGGGTGATGTGGGTAAGAATAAAGAAGGAGCTTCAGACACTTGGAAATTAATATGCACAGAGAGAGAGAAAGAGAGAGAGAGAGAGAGAGAGAGAGAGAGAGAGAGAGAGAGACTACACACACACACACGCACACACACACAGAGCGCCTATCAGCAAAGGACAAGTCTCAAAGACTACTAGACAGAAGATCTAGTCCGAAACCCCACTCAGAGACTCTCATCACCAACATTCATTCTTCCCTTGAGTATCTCCTTCAGCTAGGAACTGTCTTCCCAGTGGGTCTAGTCAACTACTTACTGAACCGCTCTTGTCAGCACCTGCTCTGCAAGTTTCAAAAACACTTTTTCTGAAAACATATTCATTTGTGAAAAGGAGGAAGAACTGAGAACAGGGAGGGGACCTTGACACAAAGCCCTAACAAGTTTCCTTTAAAGTTGAGCTAGAAATGTTGCTAAGAGGTAGCATAAGAGGCCCTAATGTAAACCATAACTATACACTGGATTCTCTGGAGTAATTGGAGTTAATAGAACAAGGCCTCATTTGTCTCAGAAGCTTGTAGAATGCCCAGTGGACAATACAGTCTTATGCAGAGGGATCTCCAAATATACTTGATGTGGGACACAAGAAAAAGCCAAAAACAATTGAAAAGCATAACAGGGAGACAAATTTTCCTCAGATGGGAAAGGGGTCAAGAGATGGAGGGGAGATGAAGAGAGGAATTAAAATGTGTCGCATATACAGACCGACACCACATAAGGAATGGCTTATGTCCTGAGAACATGTACTAATAAAAATTTTTAAAACAAAACTGGTTGAAATAAGCCAGCACTCTGCTCTTTGTTGGAGGAACATGACTTTAATTTTCTTTCTTTATTTTAGGAAAGGGTCTATAGGGTGTTCAGGGTCTCACCACTAGATTGGACTCGTACTGATGTGCCTGTTTACAGCCTCCCAAGAGTTGGGATTACAGGCGTGCACTACCACACCCAGGCTCAACTGCAGTCTCAGCAGACCCCAGGGGAGAGGCTGGCATGGCAGGCCTGGGGATCGAAACTTCAGCCCCGGAGCCTGCTTGCAGGCGCTTTAATCCACTGAGCTATCTGGCCAGCCCTTAATTCTCTCATATCATAGCATCTTAGAATTGGAAAAATCAGCAACTGTGCCGCTCTCCTTGTCTCTGCAGCAGAGAGCCTACACCAAGTCCTTGGCCTTGCTGGTGCAAATTAATTGGGACCAGTTTTGTCCAGATAAGGAGCACGAACCTTGAAATGATAAGATTTGCTGAAGAGTCCAGTAAAAATGTCTGAACTTGCTCCAAAGTAAGGCCATAATAACAAACCACAATAACAAACCAACTCAGAGTATGGATTCAAATTCCACACAGTGAAAAATATCAGGTCCGCTTCCTGAAATGACCTTCATAAGGCCTCGGTAAGTAAAACCTTTATTTGACATGGGACTGTTCTTCGTGTGGAGCGGGTTCAGGATTGGCCCAGTACATAGCATTAACTCAGTGGAACTTGGCTCCCCTGTGGATTCAGGCAATGCCCCCTCGCTGTGCACCGTGTGCATGCGCAGAGCAGCAGGCCCGCCTTGCTTCCAACAGCGACGCCCACCTGTGCTGAAAGGGATGGAGTAGACGAAGCTCCCTGGAATCTGCTCGGCTGCTCTTCGGTACCAGAGAGGGAAATGGTCTGCATTAAAAATGTTCTCTTTGTCTCCAGCTTTCAAGAAGTCCCTGAAAACAAACAAGAAAAGCACCACACCACTCAGCTCAACCAGGGCAAACAGTATAGCTAATAACTTCCGCCAGGTGAAACCAGCGTTGGCTTGAGGAGCCCAACTTGCCGTTTTCATCCCGGAGGGGATCTGAGGCCACATTATGTCTGTACCCCGCACTGCTCAAAGCTTATCTTTGTGAAGCTCTGGAGGACGGATTCCACGGAGGCAAAGCAGCGTTTCCCAGTGGAGTTAGCGGTAAACCCCTCGTCCTAGGAAAAGCTTGCGCGATCTGAGAGCAGGCCACATCAGGACCCGTGCATCTTTCACCCCTCAACTCTGCGCTCTAGGGATAGAGGACTGCTTCCTACCCTTTGAGGACTCCTTCCCTTTTGGTCACTGGCTCTCCCTCACCTGTAGCCAGAAGGCCCCTGGCATTCTCCTCCCCATATGTTCTTCTCAAAGTCGTGTTCATCTTCTTTTAAAAATATTACTCACTTATGTTTAGTGGAGAAATGACTGTTGTGTAGAACTTACAGGGTACCATGTGATGTTTTGGTCTGTGTATACATTGCAGAAAGAAACAATCCAGGTAGTTCACATATATATCACCTGACTACTTACCTTTTTACAATGTGTGGTAAGGACATGAAAAATCCATGTTCTTAATAATTTTGAAAGGTAAATTATGAGATGCACTTTAAATTTCATGTGCACATGAATCTACGGAGTATAAATTCCTGTCCCAACCTGAGTCCCCAGCTTTCCGCTTTCTGTTTCTTATCTGCAATTACCACATGCCTTTCCAAGCCTCCCGAGACCTCTGTGGGTAGCAGCTTTGCTAACATTCATCCTCCCCTCCGCAGAACATTAAAAGTATAGTAGTCTCTCCTATAGCTTTGCTTTCTGAAAATGTTTTTACTGATAGAAATGAGAAACTACTGGTGATCAACCATGGTTTAAAAATCTTAAATGGAAAACTACAGGGAACAAAAAATTCACTTGGTTACTATACATTAGAAATTGTGCACCTCTGTGAGTATGGGGATGAAAACTTGTTGTTTTATATCATCTCCCTGTGGAAGGGAATCTTCCCTTGGTCCAGTGTGTCCATGCCATATATGCTGCCTCCCCATTAAGAACTTAGTTATTTGTTGTCATACCATTGGTGATAGGATCAAGTGCTTGCATTTAAGTAACCTGCACAGAATAGCTATACAACAGTGACCACAGCATGGACCTCACTTCATCTCACTATGAAAGTATCACATCATTTTCCACTATCACAAGAAGAATGGACACATCAGTTTTATTATTGTAATTGTTCTACCCATTATTGGTGATTATTGTTAATTGCCTCTCTGCGTAGTTCATGAATTACGCTTTATAACAGGGATGTATACCTACATAAGAATACTATACAGGGTGTGTGCTATCCAGACACTTGCTGAAGATGTGATATACTCCTTCTGGACAAGAGGGAGGTACTAAGCTGGAATCACAGTCAATGTTTGTTGATTTCATTTAGCTCCAGGGAGCCGTACTTACTCTGGTACCTCAGCACTTTACTTTGGCCATAATGGTACAACTCAGGGAATGCAGTGGCTACCTGCCTAGTCCACACTCTGCAGAGATCTTACACAAAGGGCGACCCATCAGGAGACAATGTGTAGCTGAGGGTAAAGGTCATCACTTGGACCAGAAATGGCACCATTTTCAATATGGCCATTTGCAGCTTGGTGTCTGACCATATGGACCATGGAGATACATATTTATATAGAGTTATGACTATTTGGTCTTCTAAACTTTGCATTTGACTCAGGACGTCTCCTCTAGTTTTAGGTTATGGCCAACTAGCACTCTCTTGATCTCTATAGGAGTATAGCACAGCCCACTGCTTTGACAGGAAACCAACTTCAGTAGAGGCCAGTCTCCAAGTTCTTAGACAGCTCTGGAAGCTGTCTCCCTTTAAGGTACACTAGCATGGCCAAGTCTTCTCTTAAGGTAGAAATGTTAGGGTCAAGAAGGTGGCTCAGTATGAATAAGCGCTTGCCTGGCAAGTGCAAGGACCTGAGTTCCATCCCTGGTTCCATTAAAAAAAATTAAAAAGGTAGAAGTATTATGCTTTCCAACATGCCCAGAGTCAGGCACTCAGCAGGCACTCAGATGTATGCTTACTGATCACAAGATAAATCAAGTCTTATATCTAGACAGGAGCTCCTGAAGTATTTAAAACAACCTCCTAGACCTCTTCTAGACAGTATTTTCCAGTTCCCTCAGACTCTCTCAGCAGTGTGGCTACCAGCCTATGTGACTGCTCCACTGTGCTAATGCTGCCTTCGATTTTTGGGCTGCTAGCCAAGGCCGATCAGAAATGGATGATATCATATCCGAGCTGCCTACATTTGTTTACTGACCATAACCAAGAATCCTCTCCAAAACCTTTTTGAAATTTTTTGAAAGCTGACTCAGGATTCAAAAGATTGCGAAGCCACACTGTCTCCCGTGTGACTCAAAATGCTGTGACTTCCAGGCTCAGTGACAAAGACAGGCTCTTCTGGGAACTGTTGAAGTCAGCGGTGATATTTCCGGATGTGAAAATCACCAGATATGATAAACATTGACATTTTGATTTTCACAGTTTTTAGACCTGAAACCCTGCCATCGGACAACTGGAGCTGGGCCTGTGCCTCCCAACCCTCGAAGGATTCTCAGCCACACTGTGCCAGGGACACAGCCACAGCTCAGCTGGAGGCCTGTGTGGCCTTATGTTGGGCCTCCATTGTAGTGAGATGCCCATAACCACAGGTAAGAGCCATGTAGCAGTTTAGGGTGCTTCTGGGGCTTTCTTCAGTCTTGGCAGGTGGGTTGAGAGCTCGATCAGAAGGTATGAAAGGGTCCTCACTTGGACTGGTGGCAACACACAGAGTCTAGGGAGGCCTGGAATGCTGTATCCAGAGAAGCAGGTGTGAGCCAAGTGCTTGATCTCTAGCTCTGGCATTAATGAGAAAGGGCCAGAAACTTGGATTGGAAACTTCAATATGCCTGCACCTACTAAGCAGTGACTCAGGAGGAAGGTGAGAGGAGACATCTGATTCTACAGAAGACCAAGGACACTCCTCAAAGGGAAAGATTCAGCTTGCTTCTGGATCCAAGGGACTACTGTAGTGTAGTATCATGTAAGGCAGGTCTAGGTTAGAAGCAAAGATGAGTGATCTTGGGTGAGTAGCTGACTCTCTAACTCCTCATTTTCTCATATACAAAATGGGAACAATAAGTCTACCAGGATGTGTCAGTATTACGTAAGATCCAATGTGAAATTTTTTTTTTTTTTTTTAAACTTGATCCATCTGCCCGTCAGCAGTCTTCTTTGTAAGGTCCTCTGGTTGGTGTCAACACCTCATGTAAGGGCCAAGCAGCACTGCTGAACTAGGGTTCCTGGAGCAGGAAACATTTCCTCCTTGGGCCCTGGGTAATTCAACCTCTCACAAATTAATGACCACCCTGGGGTTTGGTTCTTCATCCATGGTGCCCTGAACCTCAAGGTGTAGAGGGTTTCCTGGTGACATCTAAACTCACCTACTCTCATGCAAACACACTCAAGGTTTTGGGCTCAAGTCCCATTTGTCCCTAGCCCAATCATATATACTTATCAAAGAAAAAAATGGAATTTATAAGTGGGCTCAGAAAAGATTCCCGCTTGATGAGGGCCTAGCTCTCTGAAGGTACAGGGGCTGGTCATGGCCTAAGGAGCACTAGGGTGCTGGACTCGGTCAGCCTGAGCCTAGGGTCCCTCGGCTTCTCTTTGGCAGTGCAAGGATGCATAACCAACTCCTGCACCTCCACACTGTCCACCACTGGCGTATACAGTTCTCCAGTTGCCAGGCTAAGCACAGAGGCACAGAGGTTGAAGAAAACATAAACAAACAAATAACCAACAGATGGAGAGGCACAGGCAAGAATTCCTCAGCACGGCTGCCCAGCAGCTGAGCTTCCCGGAGCTGTGTGTCAGAGACCAGCTCCTCCTCCCTCTGACTTCTCTCCCAGAAGCTCCATCATGTTGCAAGCCTAAAATGACTCCCCAGAAATGAGCACTGCAGGACAACAGAGAAAAGCCAACAAGCACAAGAAAAAAGGGCTGGGCAAGGGCCAATCAGCAAGCAGACACATAGAAATTCTCTGCAAGCCTGGGGTGGCCTGAACTTTGTTTCTAGTGGTGGGGGACTGAAGCAATAAACTAAGCTTCCTTTTGAATTTTCCATCTCAGAAGCTCCCTGGGCCCCTGCAGAGGAGCCCTCCTACTTACTGATTGGTGAGCTGCTCGGCCCCCACAAACAGGTTGATTCTTGAGAGTCCCGTGCGAGTGCCAAGGAAAGCGACCTCAACGCCCTTGTCAGAGTTCCTGAAACAGAACAGCAGACATCAGGGGATGCTTCTAGACAGTAAGCAGATAATGGCTTTTGCATTTCAAGATGCAGAGAATACTTTACAAACTAGTAGCTTTGAAACCTGAACTTCCAAAGAAATCAGAGAAACACATCCATACACTGACACACTCATAGACACACACACACACACACACACACACATACCTCTGCACATACGTGTACCACACGCACATTACAAACTCACACCCCACTCGAGAGTTTCCATGGTAATATGTTCTGGAGGAATGAACAAAAAACAGCATGGGAAGAATGCATCTGCAGCCACAGACGTATCTTCACCTTTATGCCCACGTGCAGGCAAGTCCAGAGAGCTGGCTGAGGATGAGAATGACATGGGAGAAGAGAGCTTTGGGCAATACAGTGACCCTTGTTGAATTCCTATTACTTTGTTTAATGAAATTTTGTATCTTTTGTAATGCTTTTTTCTCTTTTTTTAATTAACTTTATTGAGAAACAAATAGCAATGAGACAATTTCAAAACCGATTAGTAGGACAGTTTCAATAATTAACACATTGCATATTGTTGTCTTCTTAGTGGTTATTCATAGTACAAGATGCAGACATGATATCCTGTCCAAACACTATTAGTAAAAATGTTTCTTCTCATTTAATTAAGAGAAAGTAGCTGTATTTCTATCCTATTTTGTATATACAGATACAAAATGGTCCTTCATTTGTATCCCCTTTTTTTGTTTAGTTTTGTCAGAGATGGGTATTCCATTGCCATTTAAATAATGTAGGTGCATTCAGCAAAATAATCTAATATAGTCCAGTAGTCCATAATAGTGGGTTATCTGTAGGACTGGCAATGTCAGAAGTTGTTGACTACATAAAAAGGAATTTAAAAAAAAGTTTTCGGGCCTCAATGTCACCAGGCTCTATTCTAGTTTCTGACACTGTTGTAAGAATCTTCTGTGCAGCTGAAAAAGCACCTGGGCCAGCGAACAAGTCTGAAAGACTCTACAGGCTGGACTTCCACACAGTTGGAATGTGTGGAATATATTTCCAGAGAATTGGGTGGTACAGACTTATAACATCTACCAGCCCTTATCCTCACTGCCAACCCCAAAGAGACGAGGAAAAGAATGATCTCTTCAAATGGCCCTGTAGGATGTCACACCTAGAACTTTTACAAAGAGTCTTATGGCAAATAACAAATCAGAAATGTATACAATATAACATGTCTACTTCCAAAGCAAATTTTATATTCAAGTGTGTTCGTTACAAGATCCGTGTCATGTATTTCTTCTTTCAAAGCTATAAAGGCCATTTTCCCACAGACATAATTTTATTCTAACACTAGAAGTTCAAAGATAATGCCAATTCCTGGGTTTTCTTCCTTGTCTGAGATATAGTAACAATATCAGCCAAAGAACTCTCCCTGCCATCTTCAGCACAAGATCCTTTACTGTCTTCGTCAAGGCAGCCACAACCACTTTTAAATATTTAAGAGATGCATAAAAACCAACACAATGCATTGGTTTCTGATTGTAGTGTGCACCAAGTTGCAAAGCCAGGTGGTCCAACTAGTTACACATGAGGACTACAAAGCAAGCCACTGTTTTAGGAAGCCTTAACGTGTGTCAGGGATGAATCAGTAATCTCCACCCAAGATTGTGAATTTCAAGAGAATGTTGGTCCTAGCTAAATCTTGGTAACAACCCAAATGCCCATCAACTGAGGAACAGAGAAAAATGATGTGGTATTTTTAAACAATAAGCATTACTCAGTTATAAACAAGATAAACTCAAGGCTTTTATATGTAAATGGATGCAACTAGAGAACATACTCATTAGTGAAATAAATCAGACCCGCACGTGTGAACATCGTATTGTCTCCCTAGTGTAAGAACCTGAAAGAAGAAATAAAATCTGAAAGGTACAAAAGATACTGTGAGGGGAAAGACACTGTTCAAAGGGAAGGAACAACTGGGATGAGGGAAAGGAAAAAAGAAAGAAGGGGAAAAGAAATACATATGTACATGCATAGGATAGTCTGAACAACTGTACTGCTGGTCTACTGAAAGGAGCAGTCAATTTTTTCCCCCTCTTCTTTTAAATTTTTTATAATTTTTGACTAATTTTGCATGCTAATATCTGAAAATCTGAATGACTAATTTGAAGACAACCATATGCAATATAACAATTGTGGAATTTCTCTCTCTCACTTTTTTTTTTTTTTTTTTTTTTTTTTTTGTATTTTAGGGAAGGGTCTACAGGGTGTTCAGGCTCTCGCTACTAGACTGGACTCTAGTAGTGTCCAAATAGTGATTCACCTATTTATAGCCTCCCAAGAGCTGGGATTACAGGCGAGTGCCACCACACAGTCTCAATTGCTGTCTCCGTGCACCCTGGGGGCAGGGCCAGCACGGTAGGCCTGGGATTGAACCCCTGACCCCTGTGCCTGCTTGCAGGTGCATAATCTGCTGAGCTATTTGGCCGGCCTGAATTCCTATCATTTTGCTTAGTAAAATTCTGTACTGCTTCTGTGGGTTTTCTTTTAACTTTTTAAAAATTCTCTTTAAAAAGAAAAGAAGCATTTCCATATTTCTGACAGCAAGAGTCCCAGGCAGGGCTTTGATTCCTTCTCAACCTCCCTGGGAACAAGACTCCGGGGGGGGGGGTAAGCAGGTCACCCCGAAACAGAATGATAATCGCAGGCTCTCCTTGGGTCTACAGACATCTGCCTCCCTGACAGCTCCACCTCAGAGACTTCCAGCTGTCTTATGCTTCATGTCCAGAAGCAACTCTAGCCAAGTTAGCAGCCTCCTCTCCCCAAGGCTCTGGTGCTTCCTCTCCAATGTCCAAGTTAGAGCCCCTGCCCTGGTGTGCATGATGTTAGCCTGGGAATGACCCTGGCAGCTCCATCACTCAGCCCTCACACAGACAGACTCAGCATCTTGTCCTGGAGTCCCGCTTCTAAGCGGACCACATGTACACCTCTTCTGTCTCTTCCCCCTGCTGGTGACAAGTGGCAGAGCATTTGCAATGCCTAGGAGCCTATACTATCATCTTTGCCCATGATACTGTGGTCTCCATATAGCAGGAGAGATACTTCTTAAAAGCTGCAAATCTCATACAGTACCCTTTTGTTCTTTTTTAAAATCATTTCTTTATTCATGTATTTGGTCCAGGGTCTTGCTACGCAACTCAGACTCCCTAGTGCTGGGATTACAGGTGTACACCACCATGCTCAGTTTGAGGGCCCGCATGGCATGCAGTACCGGTTATCAAACCTGGGCCCTGTGCTTGCCAGGCAGGTGCTTAGATTGCTGAGCTAGCTCCCCAGCCCCATCACCCTTTCTTAACAGCTTTCAATAACTCTGAGTTTAAAATCTGCAATTTTTTTTTCTTTTTTTGTATTTTAGGGAAGGGTCTACAGGGTGTTCAGTGTCTCACTACTAGATGAGACTCATAGTGATCCACCTGTTTACAGCCTCCCAAGAGCTGGGATTACAGGTGCAAACCACCACACCCAGTCTCAGTTGCCATCTCAGCATGCCCTGGGGATGGGGTCAGCACAGCAGGCCTGGGAATTGAACCCCCAGGCCCTGTAACTGCTTGCAGGCGCTTTAATCCACTGACCTATTTGGCCGGCCCTAAAATCTGTAATCTTTACTAAACTGACTTTCAAGGTCTAGATCCACTTTGTCCCTCTGCACGTTCATCTCCAGCGAATACCCTCCTGCCCTCTTCATTTCATCTATATTGACCTCTCACTCCTGGCCATGTGCCAAGAGCTCAGGGCCTCTGCACATGCTGTTCAGCTTTGAGCTGGGGCTCCCTCCTCTTTTCTCTAGGTCTTATTACAATCTAGTCTCCCCTCTTCTCTCAGTTTTATTATAGTCTATGTGTCCTTACTTTTTCTTCAGAGTGGCTAGTACAATTTTTAACAATCTAGCAGCATACTACATATCATAGAGATAAGGGCAAGGACGGCCATCCATAAAGATAAGGGCTCCATCTGTCCATGTTACTTCCACTTCATCAGCACTTGGCTTAATGTACTCAATACTTGAATGAATGAATGACGAATGAATGAATGGAAAAGAGAACAGAATGAGAGATAGGCCAGAAAGGAAGATACTAAAATGAAGAAACTTAAGAGGAGAACCAAGTGATATATCTCATGAGAGTATAAGCCAAAAGGCATGATTTAAAATTTCAGTTCTCTAATAGCTCATTTAAAATAATAGTTAAAAACAATCTGCTGTGGAAGTTCTCTAGTTAGTCTCTGACATCAACTTCCATTGGCTTCTTCTCTCTTCCCCCACCCTCCACCTTACAAATAAAACCACAGGGGCAAATCTCTCCCTTCCCTGTTCTCCTCACAGCCCAGCCTGGCTGGGATCCCAAGTTCCCTCAAGCCTGTAAAAGGGAGAAAGCTGTGGCAAGCAGGAAACAAAACGTTCCTTCCGCCGCTGTCTCCCTCGGAAGTGTCACCCTACCTCTGCGTACCGAATTTCATGTAATGCTGAAACTCAAACAAATTACATGTCAAACCCAGGAGCTTGCTGTCCAAGCCCACACTGCTAATCTACTCTAACTCTTGTGGTTTGGAGCTTTGGGGAAAATTAAAGAACTTTAACACCAAGCTCCTAACGCAGTTTAGTTCTTTAAACCATAACCATATTTTGGCATGTGAGTGCGGAAGTGGCCAGGGAAGGGGGGACACATGCAACCACTTACTCAGATTTGTTGAGGGCCAGGCTGGTCCAGTATGCTTCAATAGGGGCACTCACCACAGCATCAAAAAGGACTTCTTGGATCAACTCTTTATCACCTGGTGAGAAGGACGGAAGAGAAGACGGATTAGGCTAGGCCCCAAAGAAGGGCTCACCAGCTCATTTTTGTAGTATCTGTTACGTTGCTATCCATATGTTGCTTTATGTGTTAACCTCCCACCAGCCAGAAAATACGCAGCAGTCTGACACCTGATATGCACGTAGTGCAGGGCTCCCAAGGCCTTGAATGACAGGACGGGAAATCCAGAGCTTTGGGTGTCCCTTACTCCAGTTTTCTGTGGCCTTCTGCAGTTCATGCCATGGCCCAGCACACTGAGTTTCAGACCTGGGGCCTGGAAGCCAGCACTCTTCAGAAAGTTAGTTTTTGTCATGGCCATCTCTCTAGGACCACCTGCACAGCTTCCCTGTCCTGCTCTCAGATGGCTATCAGACGACCCAATGGCTATAACGACCCTTGTGACCATTTAAGAATTGTTTTCCCCCAAGGTGTGGTGGCACAACCCTGTGATCCCAGCACTCAGGAGGCTGAGGCAGGAGGACCACTGGGAGTGCGAGATCAGCCTGGGTTACATAATGAGTTCAAGACCAGCCCAAACTACATAGCAAGGCCCTGTCTAAAGAAAAGTTTTAATTTTAAAGAGGACTATCTGTCTCTATCCCTACAATTCCTGGAAACTCTGGGGAAAGGGCCACATAATGGGAACAGGGGAGAGAGCCTGAGTCTAAGAGCTTCCTAAAGCTCTCTACTCTCTCTGAGGATGATTATTCTTCTCCTGGTGTACACCAGACTTCACCTTGGCCAGGAGCAAAAATGACCAAGGCACTTTGCTAAAAAGTGAAAACTTGAATCAAAACTGCATGAATTAAGACACACTTATGCAGTGAAATTCTATGAAGTAATTCAAACAAATGTAATTGAAATAAATGACCAACACAAAGTCCAAAACTTTGATGGATGAATACAAGTGTACCTGTGATTGTAACATTATATGTATTAATACATGGATTATGCTTTATATAAACAGGTTAACATCCTTTATCTAAAATGCTTGGAACCAGAAGTGTTTCAGAATTTTCAGTCCTGGAGGCTTGGGAATAATTACATACATGGAATGAGATTATCTTGGGGAAGGACCCAAGTCTGAATATGAGGTTACTATACACTTCACACACTGCCAGGATGTAATTTCATGAGGCATTTCAACCACTTCTGTACATGAGATGAAGTTTCACAGTATGGATATTTTCGCTCCTGGCCTCATGGTACCACTCAGAAGTTTCAGATTGGGGCCATTTTTGATTTCAGGTTTGGGATTAGAGATGTCCAATCTGTCCTATATAATTCAACTATTATGTTGGAAATAATGTTACATGCTGTTTATGGATGCCTATCTATGTATTAGTAACATAAAACACAAGAGAACAATGGGAAGAATCAGAATGGTCATTCTCTCTGGGTAGGAGCTGGACCTGGCAGGGGTAGGCAGAAACGTCAATATTATCTGTACTATTTTATCCCTTACAAGTACCTCAAGTGAATAAGGCAACATAGTAAGCTGCAGGAAAACTACAATAGGTGCTTCACATTTTCTCCATTATAATACATATAGCATTCAAAAGTCAAAGAAAATGAAACGCCGGGCTCATCTGATGAGGGTTTTTGTTCCTTCCCCACCAAAGCTCATGCTCAAAAGGAAGCCCATTCCGTGGAGGTGTCATGTCGCAGATGCACACAAGCTCCTTGCACCTCCCACGGGATTGCTCCTGGGCCAGTCCCTAAGGTCACACAAGCCAGGCGCCTTTGATATCACTGAGTAAGGGATGTCGATTAGGGGGAGGTGCAGGTGTCAGGCCCAGCTCTAGCAAATTTCCTCCTCCCCAGACTAGGCCCTTAGAACTGCCTTTAACAGTAGATGAGATGCCCTGCGTTGGAGAAGTATCCAGCCTGCTGTCCCCACCTCTCAGCTCTGCCTCAGGACATTTCTTACCCGCTGAGCTCCCCCAGGGGTCCCACAGGTGGAGAAAAGAAAGTGGCACATACAGGAGCGGGAGCCACAACAGGTGCCTGTGCTAACTCCATTCTCGGAGAAGCAGGTTCTCCCCCAGCCTGGAGACTTGGGCTTTGTATGAGATGAACCTATTCCAGCCCTAGGTTTCTCAATTATAAAATAAGGGAGTTGGATGAGCAAATATTTTATTTTATTATTTTATTTTTTAATTTTATTTAGGACAGGGTCTACAGGGTCTCACTACACAGATCAGACTCATAGTGATACTCCTGTTTACAGCCTCCCAAGATCTGGGATTACAGATATGCGCCACCATGTCCAGTCTCAATTGCTGTCTCAGTATGCCCTCAGGGCGGGGCTAGCACGGCATGCCGGGAACCGAACTCCAGTCCCTGCATCTGCCTAAACAGGCACTTTAGTCTGCTGAGCTATCTGGCCAGTCCTCAGGGTAAATATTCTAGTCCCTCCCCCCCGTACCACTTTTGTCCTATCCAGATGCTTGACCAAATGGTTTAGTAGGAGTGCAAATCCAAGGCAAAGATTTAAACCAAGGTTAGAGACTGGAAGGGTTTGGCTAGCTCATGTTCTTCCTCTCGTTGCTGTGGGAAGCCGTTGTGGAGCTGAACATTATGGGACTGACAGTCTCTGCCAACTCAGAGCTTTGCTTGACAACCGAGGCAGAAATGGTTCTCAGTCCCCCACCCCTGAGCCCCACGCTCACACAGCATGCTCCTGGCGGCACACTCACACTGCAGCAGAGGCTCTTTGCCTTTGAGGTAGAGCTTAATGGCTTCCAATTGAGACAGATGACGGTGCTCGGGGTGCAGGTCGGTGTTGCAGTAAGACCTAAGAACACGGCAGAGCCCAAAACGAGAGCATGTGAACATTGATGGCATCGGAAAGCGAGACTCAGGATCCCACCGACTAAAGCTCAGAGAAGGCAACAGCACCGACAACGGGCTGTTGACACCTTACCATTCATCTGCCAGGGACACGTCGGGGTGTTCTAAGTCATGCAGGCCTGGAGGTCAAGGAGAAGGGGTTAACGGTTAGCATTGTTCCCTCTCAGCTTCCCGTGTGCCTCAGATATTCTAGGGTATAGATGTGAGGTGGGTGGACATGGGTCCCAAGGGAACAGCCCCCGAAGAGAGCTTCAGACAAAGGGCACAAATTCTCTCTTCAGACACCTTCCTCTCCATCTCCACCTCCCTCTACCAGCACTGCTGCCTTACTCAGCCTTATATTGCCACCCTGGATCCCCATGAAAATGTTAATCTCTGGGAATAAATGACACATCCATGAGTCCCTTGGGGGGCACCTAACAAAGCTGCAAGCAGTGATCCTGGAGCCCCTGTAGTCTGAGTGGGGACTTGGGCTTTGCCGCTTAACTCTTGTGATATTAGCAGGTGTTACTTTTCTTTTCTAAATGTCAATGTCTTCGTGTTCAAAACCAGAGTGATAATAATCCCCAACTGATGGATAGTTGTGAAGGTGAATTCTAGGGTGAATAGTATGAAATTGTCAGTGCTGAGCTGTTTTTGACTAGCAAGCATTACTAGTTGTTCTGGATCCTTAGTCAGTGGGCCATCTGTCTAGTAAGGCAGCTAGGGGAGGTGGGCTTGCAAGGGCTCTGGGAGATTTTACAGAATCTCTACACTACGTTGGCTGTGTGCTTTGGTGTGGTCATGGCTCATTCCCCAAAGGCATGGGCTGGGAGTTTGGTGAGCGATTTGAGGATACTGGGTGGTAGTGGGTCTTTAAGATGTGGGACCTCGTGGAAAGCACTTAGGTCATTAGAAGGGAGCGATATCCTTCTCACAGAATAGGGTTGACTCCCATAGGACTGGATTGCTATAAAAGAATAAGTCTGGCCTCCCCCTGCCTTCTTGTTCTTCACTTGCACATGTGTCTCCTCTGCATGTGGTAATTTTCCTTTCTACTTCTCTGCCATGTTAGGACACAGCTAGAATAGCCTCATGAGAGGCTGTCCCATTGGGGTCACCCAATTTCAGATGTTCAGCCTTCCACACGGTGAGCTAAATGAAAGTTATTTTCTTTATAAATGAGCCAGCCTTAGGTAATCCATTATAGCAGAACAAAAGAGGCCCAGCCACTCTGCAAAGTCACTCTTTTCACTGGCATCTTAGGTTTCTTGACTTCAATGAACAGGCATACACTTCTGAATAATGCTTATGGGCACTTTGATGGCCTGTTTCAGAAAGTCACTTTCCTGATGATCAGTAATACCTCACTGTCCTCAGATCCCCAATTTCCTCCTCAAATAAAGGCATGAAATAAACAGCAAAAGACTAGACTTGCCCCACAGTCCTGCTTGAAGTGGGGGATATACTACATTGAACGATGGCTCCAATAGCACTGACTGAAAAACCTTGGAAAAGTCCTATCATCTGAGTTGATCACCTATACAACAGAGATAACACTGCACATCTCTACAAGGGATAGTGATTAATCCTATGATAATCTATCCATCCAAGCAAGCTTTCTTATTCCTTCCTTTCCTATCTCCCTCTTCCTTTTCCTCCTCTCCTTCCCTTCTTCTAGCCTTCTCTGCAATCCTTAGCTCTTTCAGCATTTTTACTGAGCATTTGCTATATGCCAGGTACTAATCTAGGCCTTGAGAACACAGCAGCGAATCAAATAAAAATCAGTGCCTTAATATATTCATTTCCAGTGACAGAAGAGAGATTAGTAGGTATCACTGACATTTAAATAGCCCATCACTGGGGCTGGGGAGATGGCTCAGTAGAATAAGCGCTTGGCTGGCAAGTGCAAGGACATGAGTTCACTCCCCGGTTCCACCAAAGAAATAAATAAATAAATAAATAGCCCATCACTTAGCAGTGCAGGCTATGAAGGATCAGAGCATGGAACAAGGACAAGGAGAGGCAAAGGACAGGAAGTTTTCAGAGAGTGTTTCCCTTCCAACATGGCAGTCACAGAATGTGAATTTTTAAACAAAGACCTGAAGAAGACTAGAGAAGGGTCCTGGAGACAGCAGGAAAGATGGCTACTGTGAAAGTAGAAAATGCAGAGGCCCTAAGACAGTGGTGGAGTGGGCTGTATCTTTCTAGAATATGGAGTTCCAAGTGTCCATCCCATTTTTGTTCTAGGGTAAGTTACCCACGAAGCCCTCTGAGGCTCTATTTCCTAGGCCCTACAGGTGGGACTCGGAAGGAAGATGCTTTTCTATTGTTTCTTTGGCTTCCCAGGCACCCAAGGATGTGTAATTGTCCTTTAGTTCCCTCCATCTCTAATTCGAGTTCTTCTAACCCAAAATCACATCTTCTGAGAACTGATAGCGCTGCCATTAGTGGCACAGCTATAGCTGATTAAACAGTGATTGGGTACAACACATATGAAAGACATAAGCAAGTCAAAGGAGAGTCAGAAGGGACATAGTTTGAGCAGGCAGAACTCCAGCCCATACCTTCAGCCACAGTAATGGCTTCTTTTGCTTCTGAGCAAAGGCTACCTGTATTATCTCGCATGTCCAGGAACATAGGAAGTCCCTCCAGTCTGTAGGTGTTGGAGTTTGGGCTTATGTAAGGGGAACAATACAATACAAGACACGTTGTATAAGATTGTTTTATAATAAATCACCCAAAGAATCATATACAAAGAGTGCAGGAAATACATCTATGCACTAAAGACCAAAGAACCCAGCTGAGGGCTTGGATTCTAATATCCTGCATGAGCCCAGCTGAAAACTTAGAGCCCATAACAATGCCTCCCACAAGTCTAACTGGAGGCCTTGAGCCCATGACAGCTCTCATGCAGACCTGTCTCATGGTAGAAGCTAGAAAGTGCATGTCAGTGGGATGAAGGATCTGTGCTAGCAGGCCGAGTGGTCTTCAATGTAGCCAGGAAGCAAGCTCAAGGTAAGCACCAGAGCTCCCCTCAAAAGTACAACTGTCCTTAGCAACAGTGAAGTCCCGAGCTCCTCCAAGGATGAGAACAACCAAGCTCTTACTTATCAGGAAAGTCAACCCCAGGAGCTTCTCTAGGAATCTGAGCAGTGCACCATCTTCCCCCCTGAAGCCAGGAAGCAATGCTCAAAGTGAGGACCAGAGCTCCCCAACGTGAACCGCAGCCATCTTCAGTGACAAGGTCCTGAGCTCCTCCTCTGACAAGAACAACCAAGCTCACCAGGAATGCCAGTATGACCAGGTCCTCCAGCAGGACAGCCCAAAAGAACCAGGAGCGCCCCACAGCTGCAACAGATTCTCCAGACAGCTTCCCTAACAGCCTCCCCACAGCTGCTCAGGTCTGCCTCTTCTGCTGATGGCAACAAACCTCAGGTGGGCCTCCCACACCCAGTGCCACACTAGTTCAGCTCAGCTGGGTGTTACAAGCTGACCTCCAGTTGGAGATCCACCACAGTAGGGATGCAGCCTCTACTGAAGAACCCGAAGAAGTACGGTGGCTATCTTCAAAGAACTCCTTCCTTTTCCAAGAACATAAGAGAATAATCATACCATGGTTCTTAGAGATGACAATACCCTCTATTAGTTAGCCTAAGGGGAAGCAGCTTTCCTAGGCTCTATTACTCAGCAAAATTGGCAAGATTGTGAGTTGTTTTATTTATACGGGACCAACAGGGAGAGGAAGATCTGACCTCATCTGTGTGGGTAACCAGTCCCTCTCCCCCTTGCTGAGGACTCAAACTAATTTCTTGCATGGAGATTATAGTTAGCTCTGAAATTCTCTCTGTGTGACTGCTTACCCTGACAGCTGTGGAGCATACAAAGATAGTGACCAAAAAATGATCCAAAAGACAATGCAAAACAACTGTGGATAGGGGACAGTGAGAGAGAGCATGTGCACGCAGAAAGGGAGGGAGGGACAGGCCCATGTGGGGAGGATTCACTCAAAGGACAGACAGATTAGAAGCAGATAGTCCATCTCTGACCTCTCACTGTGTCGGTCTGACCTCTCACTGTGTTGGTCTGACCATTAAGTTGTTCCTCGGCTTGACCTCAGATGTCTTAGACATGAATTTTCTTCCTTTATGGCCAATGATGTTCACAGAAACCACACACAGTCCAGAGCCAGAAAATTCTGGAAGTTAAATATCTCTAAGAGAATTTCCAGAAGTGTCTTGTCCAAATCATAGGGCTACCTGTATTCTCCTGTGCGTCTCTAGAGAGAAGCCCACACACTTGGCACCAGGATGGATAAACACTGGGTTTTCTCAGTCCACTCTATGTCCCTCTACTCTGTCCCGTAAGATCACACAGTCTACTGGGAAACAAAACCTACGCTGGTGAAACAATGTCAGGACAATCAGCAGGAAACCAGAAGGCCACCTACTGAAACAGGCTCCTCAGGGACCACTGCTTTCATTCTTCATGCCCTGTTCCATCTACTGAGAGAGCCATGGGGCACTCAGCCTAGGCAAGTCCACCACAGTCATCTGTAACCATCCCTAAGCAATTAAAATTTGGCTTAGAACCAATCACAGTGTTCCTCTTGTCCTGCCTGTGTGTATCCAGAAGATACCTCCGGTCAGGTCCAACTCTCTGTCCATGAAGACACAAAGTGTAATGTGCAGCTTGGGCATGTGATTTGCTTTGGACCACTTGGGGAGGACCACCTTTCAGAGGCCATGTCTACCCTTCCCTCTGGACTGGTGATACTAGTGTACTTCTGGACTAGTGAGTTGCCGGGAGATGAAAGGGACAGCACGTGGGTGACTTCGCTGTACAATTTAGGGAGCTGTGACATGACCTCTGCATAGGGAATGCTGTGCACCTGTGCTTGCTACCAGGGGACACCAGGGAAATGCAAGGCTGTACCCCAAAAGACATTGGCTTCCAGGTATTTGCTCCAGTGTTTTCCTCCCTGAGATTGAGTTTTTAATTTGTACTTCTCCTGCTGCCCAATTTTATGTGTGAAAAGAATACTCCTGGTGAATCATTCTTATGAGTTGCCTTGACAACTTTGTGGATTATAGTAGACTATAAATGCAGTCATAGCAAAGGCCACTAGTTGGGGTTCCCATCATTCTGAAACCCAGGAAAAACATGAGAGACATCACGGGCAGTGGGCAGTTATGTTAGTCAAATGCCCAAGGGACTGGTAGAGGGGTGGACAGCCAATGAGTTCAGGGAACTGCTAGCTGCCTCAGGTCCTTCCTCCCAGCGCAGGCAAGATGAGTCAGGGCCACACTTTACCTTCCTCGATGGTCACGTTTCCTCGGAAGAAATACTTTCCATGGCCTCTGGAGAGCGCCACACCTAAACTGTGCAGAGAGACAAGGCAGACCTTGAAGTCTATGGCATGGACTGCGACAGGCTCGTGGGCTAACATTTCTTTTTAATTTTCCATTTTCACATTTTCATTTCATGTTCTATAAACAATCTTTCTAACAGTTTACTTTCAAAACCTCACTGATTATAGTGGGTGTTGGTTTCTCTTAGGCTTAAGCAGCTGCTTCAAAGTAATTTCTGATTGGAAATGCCAGCAGCAATTGGCTGTCCCCGTGTTTTCTAGCAGCAAACAGCTTGCACAGCCAGCAAGCCCTTGCCTTGGAGTCCCTTCCGAGGCCCTGCTCCTAAGTCCCACCTCACACCTCTGCCCTGCATGTGACTGACGATGGGGCCTTCTGCACCCTAGACTCTGGGACTAGGGCAAGCTGGCCCATTCCCAAGAGCTAAACTGGCCCATTCCACTCCCCCTTGCATGCCACCCTATTTTCATGCACAAGCTTTTTGGTTCAAGCCTCTCCCTGGTCTAATAGGCTCCCCACACTCTCCTTGGCTTGATTTAATCCCCTTTCTGTTTTTGTCTAAAGTAAGAGACTATGTTTTAAAATGCAGTCTCTTCATCTGGCAAACCCACTTAGCAGCTCATGTGTTTCTTGATTACTCCTGGTTCCACATGGAACCCGCCTGTGATCCTTGGCAGTAGATGGCGATGATGCTAGAATCTATTTTTGGCTTAATCTATAGTCTGGAAACTCTTTCCTTAGCTCTGGGAGACACCAGTTCAGGAACAGGAAATGGCCCTAGTGAAACAAAATTTTTTTTTCTTTCACAAAATGCACGTTACAACACGAAGTCAACAGTAGCAGGGACTTTTAGAAGGCTACATGCGCATCTGAAAGCAGGCAATGAGGCAAAACCATTTTTCAAGATGGTGACAAAGAAAAACAACAGGACTCCAAGGCACACAAGCACAGGAGGACAGCTCGGAGGAATCAGACAGAAGTACAACCGGAAGGGTGCAGTGCTACCTCCAAGTGGGAAGGATTTTTTTTTCTTTTGTTGTTGTTTTTGGTCATGAAATAAAAGGTGAAATGGAACCAAGGAGGCAGCAAGTTAGATGGTTAAGGACCAGGTCACCCTCTGAGCCAGTCTCCATGCCTCGGGGGAATCCCCAGAGCTCTGTGGCTTTACAGCAATGAGGTTGAAAGCCAGGGCGGATGAAGCGAATTCTCCTAGGTGAGCCTGAACCATCTTCCCCCTTCAGGAAAGCACAGACAAAAGCAGCCTGGGAAAAGCCCCTTCCTCACTCTTTCCAGCCTTTCGGCAGGGTGGGTTTTCTCCTCAGATGGCCAGCTTTGAGAGCCTCAGCACCTTTGTACAAACACACTGATGGGTCTGATGGAATGTCCATGTATTATGGTCAGCTCTACCTGAAAGGAGTACCCTTGATGTCTGTATAATAGTAGTCATTTGTCATCACCAAAACCCGTTTCTAGATTGAAAAAAAAAAGTCGTAGAGAAAAGAAAACATGGTTAGTCTGCTAGGTGACGTTTGCAGAAATCAATAAAAATAAATGGACACACTGTGATCAGGTTAACAGTACTACATGAATCTTGTTTGAGATAAGTAAAGACAAGAGGAAAATGATCTCAGTGAAAGATATTTATTCCAGATAGAGCTCTCAAAACTAATTTTTCATAGAGGTTTGTTTTAAATTAAGCGGCAAGAATGTTTGAGAAAAAATGTACCCCTTTGTCCACCGTCTTCTTCACTTCCATGGAAAACTTCCCGGTTTTTCGATTCACCATGGCGTTTCTTAACTGCAAGGATAAAAGAGAATGTGTGTGTTAATCCTTCCCTGGTCAGTCCCCAGGTTACCTGGATACCTCCATGCTCGACTGAGAGCACATCGGAGGCCAGAGTGAAGCAGCAACATTGTCGCCTGCAAGCTGCAGAGCTCTGTGAGGTCCAAGCCGCATCTGCCTGCTGCACTCAGACCTGTAGGACAGAACTTCCAACAAACAAACGCCCGGCTGCTCTTGCACAACGGGGGACAGGCTAACAACAGCACACAGAGGACTTCCGCCTCTGACCTGGAGTGCTCCTATAACCTCAGGACAACAAGAACAACAAAACAGCCTGCACCATGCTGATGAGGAATCGGAGAGCGAACTCTCAGCAATCACTAAAACACTCAAGAAGCAAGAATGTCTCCGGCGCAAAGTCGTATGCTCCAAAAGGGTACCGATTTGTGAAGAAGGGATTTTTCCAAAGATAATCAAGTTAACGATATTTACTACCACCCAGTAGTTTTTTAAAGAAAGGGCTGAACATGTAGAAGAGGAGGATTATTTTTTTGTAACATGAATCATCTTCCGATGCCTGCGGAGAATCGCTGGCCAATTAATTGCCTTGCTGACAGGGCAGTGAACAGGGGTGACCCTGTCTCTGATTTTTAGAGGTCCCAGCCAGGAACAGTGAGCCTGACTCTCCTCCCCCACCCCAGTTGGCCTCATCTAATTATGTGTGGCCCTTCCACGAGTTCAGAGGAGGACAGCAGACACAGTGATGAAAGATGTGCCGTCACGGGCACCAAGGGTCTACGGCAGGAAAGGCCATTTAATGGAATATGAACAAACGCTGACATGCCACAGCCCATCAGGAAAGCCTCCTTGCTAGCTGGTGCCTTAATTCTGTCTCCCGTTCCTTCTTTTTCTCCTTTGAGGAGTTTGAGTAAGATCTGGCTGATAGAAAACTGTCCCACCTGCAAGCAACTTAAATTCGTTTTGGGGCTTCTAGATTTGGATTTGCATTCCCATCTTCTATGAGAGAGAGAGAGAGAGAGAGAGAGAGAGAGTTAAGGCACAATTTTTAGCTGGAGGCATATATAAAATAAAACATATATTTTACTCTTCATATTTTTTAACAACACATAATGGGCATTTCTGGAAATATTTTCCCATTTTAACTTTTGTGGTTTTGGATGGGGAAGGCTGGTCCTAATTAAGTCTACTTTCTAACTTTTAAGAACGGCTCGATTTATCTTTAACATGGTTTTCATTTTCCCTCTCTCTGGTGCCTGCCTAAAGCCATTTGGGACCGTCCCCTTTCATATTCCCCAGGCAAGCTGGAGATTAGGTAAGACTCCGCGGGCCTCTGTGCCGCTGCGCCCCTACTCCCAGTAGCACAGAGTGAGTGCGTGGCTCACTGATGCTTTCAGGGGCAGAGACTTAGTCTAGCTTTGCCCCTTAAAGATGGAAACAGCTTAGACTTGTGAACGCCTACTAGTGAAACCATACGGCACTGCAGTTTAGATACAGACTAAAGGTCAGGACTTTATGACATTGGGCTCAGCGCTTAGCTTCTCTGTGCCTTAGTCTTCCCTTCTGCAAAACAGAACTAATGACAACACCGTCTCATAAAGCACCCTCCTCAGGTAGTTGTAGTGAGGACCAGAGGGGCCAGTAGTCAGTATCTAGCACAGTGCCTGGTACACGGAGGATGTGTCAGCTCTTCTATACCACCATCATCACCAGCATCATCACCACCATCCCTCCACGGCCGCTATCTTCTTCACTGTAATTCCTCAACTTCATTTAGGGCCTGAAAACTCCCAACAACTTCAGGAGTCAGGATTTGAGCTTCAGTCCTCATGCCACAGAGGCCCATGCTCTAACCCAGTGTTTTTCAAATTTTGTGGACTGTGACCCACACAAAAATATACCTTGTGCTGAAGAGGTTCCATGTCCCTATTTCAGTAGATCACACTGTTTGTCTTTGCCTCACAGTGGCTACTCCATGGCTCCTATGGCCTCTTCCCTAACCCCTCAGGCTGAAAATTGCTGATCCTAAACACCCATGAGTTGGCACAGACTGAAAAGGAGGCAACCTGAGGCAAGATATCAACATTCAAGTGTTGCTGGACCCCACCAGCTGCCCTTGGACCTGTCTATGGCTCAATTTGTTCTCCTTCTTCCTGTCAAAAATGTCCCTGAGTGAAGACTCCAAGACCTTGGGGATCCTGTCAACTGCTATAAAGCTGTGTTCATCAGATTCCACGAAGCACACCTTACTGCTGTTACTGGACCTCACTACGTGCTGGGTGCCACTTTCAAAAATTCTCAAAATTATTTTCTAAGTTATCATTACTATCCCTACTTACATGAAAGATGGGGAAACTGAGGGATGGGGCTAAGAAACCTGTCCAAGGTGGCAGCCTGTCTGCCTGGTGAGCCCAAGCTTTTAACCTCTGCTTCTCAAAGCATGAGAAAATACACTTGGACAGAATGAAATATGTTAGCATTAATATTAAAATTACATGGTGCTATTTCTAACGTTGTTTTAATCAAAGTAAAATTCTAAAAATTGACCATGTTGTAGGGTGTGGATTTATCTTCCCAGCAGGTTCTTCTGATCTGGGGGCTGGGGGTAGGGAGGTGGTTTTCTGTCACTGCAAGAGAAGGAAAGAGGATTTTTTTCCTCCCTCAAGACACTGCCTGTGAGAAGCCAGCATTGTGATATGGGGAAATACTAGAAATGTCACATTATTAGGGATGCTGAGGTTCGAGAAGGGGAGAAACCTGCTCGGAAGTAGGTAGTGGTCAGTGGCACTCCTGGTTTCACATGGCATAGGCACCCAGAACATAGGCAGGAGAAAGGGTAAAGGGCATAGCAGTGCTGTCTCCCCAGCCGGGGCAGGAAGGATGTGACTGAGGATGTGTCACAGGGTTGTCTGAATACGCTTTGAAGTTGTCACTGCTGAGATTGAGAACAGCAAACCACATGGCAAAAATAGAAACAGCTTGGCAGAGGAAGATTTCCAAGCAAATTTTGCTGTGCTCATCGGTGAGGGGGTCACAGAGGCATTAAAAATTACATGTACAAATATCCAACTCAACCCTGAGTCAAAGAAAGGCAAATCAGGACATCTGCGACATAGGATGAGCCTGTCTGATGCCATGCCTTTGCAGGTGTGACAACACAGCGGGGTCTGTGACACAGAAAGTCAAGCTCCCTCAAGGTGACACAGTAATCTGGAGGCAGTGACCAGCGCCGTGGTCTCCAGGAGCCACTCTGCCTTATCCACTGGCTTTGTGTGCCCCGAGAACCCCTGGAGAGCCCATTTGTCTCTTCTGTGGTGTTGAAGCTGAAGCAACGTTGATGAAAGGCGGAAGCGCCCACTTTCCTAGCAGCACATGACAACCGCAAGCCGTGCTCATGTTCTACTGGGAGCCTGCTGACTTTACCTCCCAGGCAGAGCCCATTAGGGAACCTTCCCAGGCCAGTGGCCACCTTAGGGTGCTACCTAATGATAGGGCAGTTACTTAATGATAGCTCATTCTCCTCCCAGTGGCTCCTGGTCCACATGGAAAAGGATTCCCACCTTTCCTACCGCTCAGGCAACCTACCAATGGCACAGCACCTGCCCAGGCTGGCAGATTAAAGGGAAGGGAGATTTTTGGATAAGCAGCTCTGTCACCCTCTGGCAGGCTCTATCAGCACATGAAAATGTCCGCAGGCACAGATCTGCTCTCAACCCCATGTGGCGGTCGGGACCTTTACACTGTAGGCTTGGTTCAGGGGCTCAGAATTTAAGCATGAACTGCGGAGACACCAGAGAGGGTGTAAAAAAGTGTGAAATCCATGGATAAAATTCTCGGAAATATGCTCTAGGGGAGGAGGCTTCCAGGGATTTGGGAAGCAAAGGCTCTGGGGAAACATTCCATGGGAGTCATCCTGGTAGGAAGAAATGTGGGCTGCCTGGGGGCGGTAGGCAAAAGATTTACAGGGCAACAGACAGGACTCTAGCTGAGCTTGAGGGACAATCTACGGGCTGCATCACAATGCCACGTGCACAGATGCCACTTAGCCACCTTCCTCATTCTCTCTGTTCCTCAGGAGAGGGTGACACATCTGCCATTTGACACCGAGACATGGTCCTTAGAGATTTAGGTTCAAGGGTGCGTCCTGTGCCTGCTAAGGGCTTTTCAGAGATCTGGACTGTGGGATCCAGGCTTCCTTGGCTGAGTGCCCTTGTACCCTTTATTGCTTCTCCATCTCAGTCTCCTCACCTATGAAATGGAAGCAGCAAAGGCAGTGTTTCATGGGATTACTGAGAGAAATCAATCAGTTTTCTCATGCAGAGCACTTAAGAACAGTACTTTTTATTTATTTTTTGCAGTACTAGGGATCGAACTTGGGACCTTGCCCTTGCCAGGAAGGCGCTTAAGCCACTGAGCTATTAGAACAGTACTAGCCCATAAGAAGAGTTCCATATAGGGCAGCTACTGTTACTTATGAGAATTTTCTCTATTTATGGAAATAATCATGTTCACTATGGACTTCAGTAATGACTAAAATGTAACAAAAACAAAACAAAAATCATCCGTAATGCCTTTAGCCATTTCCAGGAATTTGTAACCAAAGGAGAAACAGTACTTTTAAAGATAAGTTTTCCTTCCAAGAGGTGATGCTCTCTAGTGACTCAGATTACATCATACATGTCTCAAGGCCCCATCTGCTGTGACTCATGGGTTCCACAAAGATCTGTGGTACTCACTGCACTGTGGACGTAGCCCTAACTCACCCTTGCCCATCACATTCCTCTACACAGTCCACATTTCTCTCTATCTTTTAAGGGTTCTTTTGCACGCCTAACAGTGCATGTGATCTTACATTACATTTGGAAGCACACAGCAAGTTGCCCAAGAGACAGTGGAGTAAAACACCTGCTTAGGCAAGCACAGGGATGGGGGTTCAATCCTGGATGTGCTGTTGCCGGCCCTGCCCCCATGGCATGCTGAGACACTGAAACAGACTGGGCATGGTGGCGGGTGCCTATAATCCCAGCGCTTGGGAGGTTGAAAACAGGAGGATCACTATGAGTCTAATCTACGTAGTGAGACCCAGTAGATCCTGTACTAAATACATTGAGAGAGAGAGAGAGAGAGAGAGAGAGAGAGAGAGAGAGAGAGAGAAGGCTTCTCCTTCATAACTTCTACAGTACTCTGCTGCCTCCTCAGTGGGCTCTGCAAAGAGTCTTTCCCAGATCTGGATCAGAATATGGACAGACAGAATTCTGTGAAAATTTCACAGGGGTGCTCCATATGGATCACAGAGTCCCCCAGTCACCAGTGTACAAATCTCCAGGAAAGAATAGTGACTTGGGACTTCCTAAGTCAAACATGACAAAAATAAAGGAATTCCTATTTCAAATACACCAAGCTCCCAAGGGACAAGAAAAGAGACATACAGGGATAACCAGAGACCATTCTGTGCAGAATGGGGGCAGGTAGTGGGCCAACTTGTGGGGTGGAAACTCAGGTCTGTGAGTCAGGAGTGGAGGGAGACTGCACAAGTGAGGCTCAGAATTCGATGCCTGTAGCTTCGATGGGAAGGGCACTGGGATGAGGAGGTAAAAAGTGCTTCCAAACCATGATTAGTAAAGGGAAGAATTGGCTCACTGAAAATTAGCTCGGGCACCAGAGATGACTAGAGCAAGCCAGGGGTAAAGAGCTTCGAGCGGAACACATGTGCAATGAGAGTGTAGGCTTTGTGCTAAGGAGAGCGGCATGTGTGGGCTCCCCGCTGGGGCTGGGGATTCTAAACTAGGAGTGTGCACCACCAAGGCTGCATTCCACGCTGCCTGGAATGGACAGGATGAAGGGGTCGAGAAGCATGCTGATAGCCAGGTTCAAGCCCGTTGGGAGAGAAGCACAGAAGGGCTCAGTGAGCTCAAAACAAACCAAAAAAAAAAAACCGACACAGTGAAATGGAAGAGAAAGAAGAGAACAGCAGGTTCCCTTCAAAGATTCACGAGGCACAGTACCACCATAAGAGCACAGGGCGAAGACATTTCCTCATGAGAAGGTAGCTTGGTGCTTGACAGCAATGGATAAGAATGTGCATTCCTGACAATGCCACTGCTGACAGAATGCCCACAGGACCATATAATGGTGTAAGCAATTTATAACTTTCAATAATGTACATGTTATATTAATTATATTGCTAGATATAGATGTATATCCTTGCAACAGTTTGATGAGGTAAGGAATCATTACCACCATCTTATTTGATTGGGTAAAAGCCCCGTAGAAAGCAAGAACCCTCCTGGGTGTAGAGGTCCACGCGGCTCACTGGAGACAAGGGGCCAGCAGCGAAGCCCAGATCAGTGCGCTGGCCTTCCGGCTCCTCACACTTGCTGAGAAAGGGGTGCAGGTTAGGTGTAGTACGAGGCAAAGACCTCTGGCAGTGCAGCACAAGGAATAAGAAGACACCAAGCCCTACCAGTCAATGAACTGATTATCACCTCAGACCGGGCAGGGAAAAACGTGTGGAAGGGGAAGTGGCTTTTACCCAATAGCAATGCTATTTCATCTGAACTTGGGTGAAAGTAGACTTAGTGTAGATAAAGAAGGAAACAGGTTAACTTTCTAAAGCAGATGTGAGTCTTGAATTTTTCTAGAGAGTAAAATAGAGATTTACACTGGCTGGGTCAGGACAGGGAGCAAAGGGTGTGGAAAGAGGGAAAACGGGGAGCAGGGAGCTGCAAGGCCACCCTGTTTCCAGAAGTCAAGAGAGAGAAACCAGTCCGGAACTTCAAATGTTTCTCAACAGTGCTATGGAGAGGAGGACAGAGCCCAAGATAGAAACATTGGTAACTCAATGACGCAACTTCCGGAAGGACCCCCAGAGGGCTGGGGGACCCCCAGAGGGCTGGGGGTGCAGCTTTGGGTGAGAGTACTTGACTGTCTTGCATGAGGCCTGGGTTTGATCTCCAGCACTGAAAAAAAAATGGTAATAAGAAAGGACATCAGAAAAATCTAATGGAGCAGAGGAAAGGGGACAGGCACAAAGACAATGCATGAAAAAGTGCAGAGAAAGCCCAGCCAGAAACACCTGATATGTGAGGATTTAATTAAGGATAGGTGGCCTGGATCTGCATGGAGGCAAGCCGTGTCTAACAAATCTGACTTATTGAGGAAGTAACAAGAAGACTCGATGGGGTTAAATCTCAGGGATGAGAAAAGCTCCTGACCCAGTGCCGAAGAAGCATGGTGTGCTGCAAAGTTGTAGCTGGCCAGGCAGCAGGAAAGGCTGGGAGGTGCAGGAAACAGAAACGCAGCCAGGCACACTGGGGTTAGGAAGGCCAGCAGCACAGCCCTCGGCTGCTCTTGGGAAACAAGGACTGTGACTCTGAGGTGCTGACAGGTGAGTCCTGGCTGTGCAGAGCCTGCTTGGTTTGTGGGTTTCCAGCCCTTCCAGTGGGCAGGGCCTCCTGTATCCAGCCAGGACTCCCTGAGGGCAGTAGGTCTCACCAGCTGCACTGGACAGGAGACTGCATTCCCAAGCCAGAGAGGGGACCAGTTTGGGATGGTTTTAGCAGACTGCCCAAGCAGGTAAGGTGGCTGGCCTGGTAAGAAAGTTGTTATGCTCCAAAGGGGGTCCACAGGTCTAATGTCTGCATGTCCTTCTGGTGGCCAGGTGGGCCTCCAGCCAGCTCCTCAATTCAACAGAGCTCCCTCCCAAGAACCTGAGGTCACTCACCACATCATCTCGGTCTTCCCATTCCACCTCGGAGAGGTCAACACTACTGTAGTTAGGTTTCCTTCGTTTTTTTCCTTCTTCATACTAACCTCAGCCAGAAGAGAAAGACAAGAGGAGAAAAAAAAAGTTCATGAAATCATCAGCCAGGGAAGCCTTCATCCTCTCTAGCCCTGGGGACTGTGAGACGACATCCAGGGTGACAGTTCTAGGGGGGTTAGTGACAGGCACATCAAGGCTACATGATGGAAACCTTTGCTCCAAGCTGGGGGCTGTTAAAAACCGAGTCCTTATGTCTGATGGATTTTCCCAGTGAGTGACCTTTTCGGTTTCCTGAGATGCCAGATGCCGAGGAGAGCTCTCCCCCTCCTGGAAGAGCTGGAGGTAGTGTACACATGTGTGACATGTACCAGAACTCACAAGCCACCCTTCATGACACAGGAGACGGCTTCTTGAATATGTGTATGGAAATCAAATCCTGCCCCCTGTGCTAAAAGCCCTTAGTCTCAAACCTTCCCCTTGCCTGCCTGGGGAAGAAAGAATCCAGCTCCACTGCTGACGATGGGCTCAGTGTCCTGTTGACATTTTGCAGATGCGCAGAACCTCTACGCTGTCCGCTGACTGCCACAGCACTGAGCTAAGCACGGACGCTTCACCTGGAGTAGCTGTGGGTGCTGCCCGATTGAATGGCCATCAGGGCATTTTTCTAGAAAAGCTGATGAGAATATTAAGAACTGGGGAAGTGGTTTTTGTTTCCTCCCTAAATCCCTGGTGTTAGTCACTCTGCAAGCCTCCCATTTTATCGACCGGACATTCTTATGTCTGGATGTTCATGCATATCAAGGCTTTTAACGCTGTTGTTGGGGTGTTTATATGGTAGGGAAGTCTGCCCTCTGCTGCAGGCTAAGGATAAGCAATCTCTATATAAGTTTAGAAAATAAGATTCATAATACTATATATCTATCTATATCTATATCTATCTATTTATATATATTATGGTAACTAACACTCTAAGTGGGCTGCAAGATGAGTCGAGGTGCTTTCACACCCCAGAATCACAAGTTGCTGCCTTGGCTACTGTACATACAGGTGCTGATGACACCCTGGACACAAAGGGAAAATCGTACCACAATGTGGAAGCACACAAGTCTAACCTGGCCCCCAGTGGCTTCTTGGTCACAGTGGCTAAAAGAGCAGCTTTTTGTGGCACCGCAGTACTGAACAGGGTAGAATGGCTTTTTTCCCCCGCAGAGTGCTTTTCCTCCCTGTGAGCTGCATTTTAGAGACTCTACACTGTCTCTGCATGGTCCTCCTCCTCACACAGAAGGCTGCCCTGCCCATCTTCAAGAGGCTCTGAGGACCACATCAACCACACTACCCTCTCTTCTTTCTAACTGATGGATGCTCATGGTCACTACTAGACAATGAGATCCACTCCAGAAGAAGAGAAAGGAAGAGAGTCGGTTCCCTCGGAAGTCACTGGAAGTTGTGGCAGGTTAACAGTTGGGTCCCATTACTAAGAGTTCCTGTGTTCATGGAAGCTCTGTCCCTGGGAAAATCAGGCTTTCTCTGAGCAGGAAGGACAGGGATAGGTCTGTGGGAGATGGTGGCACACACAGAAGTGACAGGGATGGGCCAAAAGATGCTAACACTCAGGCTGACCCCCTGGAGAGCCAGAGATGGACAGATGCCACTCCAGGCCTCTGCCACACGTGCCAAAAGTTCCCAACTCCCGTTTTAGGACCAACTGTTTCTAGGAGCTATCAGGCATCTGAGAAATTCATGAGCCTAGATCTTGAACTTTAAAGGCAGAACTTTAGGGGAGGTGCAGCTAGCTAGCTTGACGATACAGAATTACCTAGTAGGTACGAGCCCCTGGGTTTGATCCTAGCAGAGTCAAAGGAAGAACTTTTACACCTTTTTTGGTGGTCTGCTGCTGGGTCTGAATGGTTTATTTATTTATTTATTTAGACAGAAACAATTTTTCCTTTGCTCACTTAAAAGTGCTCCTTCGTTCATTTATTCAGCACACTTTCATTTACTGGATACTAACATCACAAAGCACTGAAGATTCAGTCACTCAAACAGCATTCTGTTCTTTCCCAAGGACTTACCTGTAGTATCCTACCCTTAATTCTGTTCTGAATCATGCATATGGGAAAACAGGCTTTACCAAGTAATGTAACTCATTAAACAACAAGTTATATAACTTCATATAGACAGTAATGGGGCAGACACTTTGCCTACCACTAGCTCCTGCCCAGACTGCCAACCTCCATGTTAGTTCAACCACTGCTGGAGAAATTTAAAAGCATCTCAAGGTCCAAGGTACCAGCTCTGCCTTGATCTTCAGCAAAAGCATCCATATGTTTTTGAAAAAAGAAAAAGGCATTGTAGCTATGCTACTTCGTGCGCCCCAAGTCCCATGGTACACGTCACTAGCACAAAGGGATCTAGATGCCTCAAGCTTCCTCACACAGTGGTACTGCCACAGCAGAGGCAGGTCATGAAGATGGAACGAGACCCTGCAAGTAAAATGGCATCACATTCCCAGAGGGAGCAAGCTCCTAATGCACCACTAGCACGGTGGCGGCGAGCCATGCGCCTCTGGTGAGGGCACAGGGTCCCTGCCCAGAAGTGGCAAATACCCCTTTCCTTTAAAAGAAGGAGGACATTCAATAACTCTGCAGATCGCCATTACGCAGGTCATGGGCATTTGTGGAGGTGGAAGTGTCCATCATGTGCAACCGTGTATCTCCTCCTTCTGTGTGTATCATAAGCTGGGCCTTAGCTCTCTCCTGGGAGAGAAATTCACAGTTGTGCTAAAGCACCTGCACCTGTTAGATGGCATTTAGCAAAGTGAAATCAGAAGAGTCGATTTCTCACTATTCCTGAATGTCTTTACTCTTTCTGCAGCCACTCAATAGATTCAATGCAGTATTTTACACTAAATGGAATACACAAAATTTGGAGCAATTGCAGAGTACGGGAATAAAAGTTTTCCCAGCACACGGGCCCATCAGCTACTATATCCTGGTGACTGTCTCTGATTGGTAGAAACGAGAGCGAGGGGTCCCCCTCTGCAACTGCCTTTTGGGAATGCCCTTCCATAGTCTGCTTAATAAGTGCATGCAGTCCACCTGGAACACTTTTTACCAATGTCCTCATGAACAGGTGGGAGGCTTCTGACTATGAACAAAAATGTATCAGAGTAATGAATCTCGGTAAGAAAAGACAAAGTCAGTGGATGCTGCTTAAATGAAAAAGGTCAAAGACTCTGAGATAACTGCAGCATACTGGCCCCAAGTACTCCTTTATTTTTTTTCTCCTTAAGAAAGCTAGAAGGTAGCACTCCATTTGAAAGACTCCCTTGCTGTGGACGGGCACAAACCATCCTTCGCCCTGCCCTGGGTAAGCATTTTGGTTTTCCTGAAGGAAACTGCTTGAGTTCTACTCTCAGTAAGTATTCTTGGGAAACTATGGCCACCCTGGGTCAGAGATGGTCACTTGTAGCTGCAGATGTAGGAGAGGGCCACATCACTCCACAACACAGGGGTTCATTCATAGCTGATAGGCCAGTGGTGCGGAACCCATGAGAGGTGTGCCACAGACAGCTCTCTATGATCACTGAAAGCTCAACAAGATTTTAGCATCACTGGCCTAGGCCAACCCCCGCGCTATTCAAGGGCCTCGACCCATGATGTTCTCCTGGATTGATCTGGGAAAGGGACTCTCCAGGCAGCTAGCATTGCTAGGGTGCTAGTAGGTGAGACTGAGATTAGAGTATCTCATGCCATCTCTACCACTGCTTGGGGTCTTCATGACAACCAAGAAGCCAGGGCAGAGAAAGCAAAGACCACATACATGAGAGGATCCTGGACCTGTGGTACACACACCCGATCAAGCTGGGTCCAAAATTGTCCCAGTGACAGGTGTTTTAGGGATCAGTACATCCTCCCCACATTATTGCTATCTCCCTTTCCTGTTTTGAACAATCATTTCAAAGAGGGGTTGGCTTTCAAGTGTTAAGTAGTCGGTAGAGTTCTAAGTTGTGTCAGTTTAACATCTTTATTTTTAAAGTTGTAAATGAATGACTTTTAAAATATATTTTATGGGCTGGCCAAATAGCTCAGTAGATTAAAGCACCTGTTTAGGCAGACACAGGGGCCAGGAGTTCGATCCCCAGGCCTGCCATGCTGATCCCACCCCTGGGGCACACTGAGACAGCGATTGAGACTGGGTGTGGTGGTACACACCTGTAATCCCAGCTCTTGGGAGGCTGTAAACAGGAGGATCACTATGAGTCCGATCTACACAGTGAGAACCTGTAGACCCTGGCCTAAAAATACAATAATAATAATAAATGAAATATATTTTATATGAAGTGTCACAAAGTTGGGTGCTCTGATGACTATTTGGAACACCTCATTTATAAAATGCTTCACCACTCACAAAAAGCACTGCTCAGTAGAGCAGACTTCCTCTGATTGCCCAGCCCCACTTGGCAGAAAGAGAATCTTCAAATCCCCACCCCCAGCCCAGCTCGCTCCTCTCACATTCAGCTTTGGCGTGGGACAAATCCCAGGTTCCCCAGCACCACAACTTCTGATCTGTGTAAGGAGCTCGTTATGGGGCTGAGGCATTGTGTATGGCAATTGTTAGTGTATCTATAATCTGTAACTTCCTTTGAAAATGTGATTAACGAATTGCAAATGGTTTCCAAAGGTTTATAAACAGACTTTGAGAGCCACAGGTAGGTTTTTAGGTTTTGGTGCCTGTTTTATGAAAAAAATATGGAGAGGGAGAATTTAATAAGGAAAGATATTCTGTGCTATGAAAGACTTCGAGGCGGAGTTTCAAATAAAGGCCAGATGCAGGAAACAGGGAGCACACAAATAAATACATGGCCCTGGAAGATGCAGCGTGAAGGCACCCTCATGAGGAACAAGTGGGGAGCAGGGGGTGCCTGCCTGAAGCCCAGATACGCATGGCAGTATTTAACCGTCTGGATTAGAACACCCTTTTGTGTCCCCTGCAGACAGACAGGAAGCACAATGAAATGGGCCAAGGTGATGGTCACGTTGACT